CAGAGCTGAGATTGATACGATCAAGGAAGAAAGGAAATAATTGGAAGTGGAAACTTCGAAAGCAGACGGTAATCCATTGTGCTCTATCTTCTTGGTGAATGGATGATCACGATGCGAAGTGCGGTCGGTATAGCTGGGAGAGGTTTTCTTCTTGCTGCGGATATCCTGGTTTGACATGCAAAGCTCCCTCGTCTCGAGATTTCCATTTGCGAAATTACGATCTACTCAAAGCGGTCATTCGAAGCTGGGGAGGAAAGCATACGATTCGGCTTTGCTCTCCAAGGGCGTCGTGGAGCATGGGCCCGTCGAAGAATAAAGAATAGGATCGCGCACGATAGCCTGCCGAGAGAGAGCTCGGATCGGAGATGGAGAGCGTCATAATCAGTTGCTGCATATATGAGTCTTTAGCCGTCCTCTCGATGGAGCGTGTCAAGGTACGACGTATACCCCCTTTGGCTGTGCCTTGGCGATCGAATGGACCGTTTTCAAGGTCTTTTGTTTGCATATACCGTCGCTATCATGTCCCTGGTACAGCTGCCCGCTTGATGGCAGCTTGAAGGGTTATGAGACTGTTACGTGTGAATTAGCTCGTTGCCTGATGGATGGGGAATGAGAGAAGAGGGCAGTGCCATCTGGCGACCTGGGCTGCTCAGTCTTCTCCTGATTTTGCAAATGCAATCTCACACCAGCATACGTCAAGAGGGTGGTGGGAATCTACGCCTCTCTTTCCGACGCTTCAGCCGTTCAGCGACGAATATGTTGGAACTGAAGACCTCAGTAACTTCTGAAACCTTGGTCAATTGTCAGTTTGGTAACTGTTACTTTGGTAGCCAATGGGGCGGAGCGAAAGTAGCGGTCAACTCGGTCAAGTGAGTCAAGTGAGTCAACTGAGTCGAATGGAACAGGCCACTAGCTTCCGTTTGCTACTCTCAGTTTGTATCGGTAGCTATATAAATAGCTCCGATTCCACTTAGTTAGAGGCATGCAAACCCAAGTGAATCTACTCAAACAATTGAATACGTATTCAACCTTGCATCGCACACCCCTGTGATGCCAACAGAATCTCTTTCCATCGGGCTCGTATTGCCTTTTGTTTAACGCTCAGCTCTTGCAGTCGTACTTACCTATTTCGGTAGGCAGGCTTCACGCAGCCGTTCCTTCTCTATGAACATGAGCTGTGGTCAAAATCTTACGAGCCTCACTAGTTCAGTAGAGGATTCACACACAGCTTATCCGTTGTCGACAGATAGCTAGAGCTGCAAAGGTTTCGAGACCGATCAAATATTTGGAAGCTTGTAATCATTTGATCGTCAAATGCAGGCTGTTCGCTTCCAGCGATCTTGAGAGCATCCTTGACCTCTTGCCAAAGGAGCTCTGGAAAGAGGAGAGAGGACAGCGGCTACCTATGGGCATATACAAAATAAAATAGAATAAACTAAAGGCTTTGTTTTTACTGATCCCAATATTAATGTAAACGCCCAGACAGACCTATTTCTTCATATACCTCGCTAAATCTCGGTGGTCAAAGCCCCAGTCCCTCAAATACGCCTCTTTGATACGGCCAGGGTTCGCTTTCAGCATCTGGATCAACATATCCCTCCTCTCCAAGGAGATGCGCAGATTGAGAAAATGCCGATCGGCGAGAGCCTCCTCGATGGCCAGCGCCATGTCTTGCCACGCGTAGCCCGCGCCGCGCCCACCCCACGTCTGCTGACACGTGCCCGTCCGGCACTGCCAGAGGCCCAGGAAGGCATGGCACATGCCCTGCAGGAGACAGCACAGGGCGCTCTTCAGGCGGACGTAGCGGTTCGGCTCCCGCAGCCGGTAGTTGTAGGGCTTGTGCATGACAATGTCGAACATCTGCACTCGCGAGCCGTCGGCCCGCTCCTGGACGTACTTGAAGAACATGCCGCGCGTCTGCCGCTCGTGGCCGCGCTGGGCTTTGAAGCGGAGCAGGCAGCGCTCGCTGCCGGCCAGGCTCCCGAAGAAGAAGAGCTCGTCGAAGAACTGGAAGTAGGCCGTGAGGACCACGCTGTCGCTGAACTCCGCCCGGTCCGAGTCGCGGAGGTCGAAGACCGGGTCGTGGTGCAGGCGCTGGATGGCTTCCTTTTGGAGGCGGCAGAGATCCTCCCCCCGGTATTTGGAGAATTGGGTGACTTTTTCTGAGAGGTAGGTTGGGTAGTGGCGGCCGGGCGTGAAGACTTCAGCAAGCCCGCGGCGGAGATAGCTATCTCGCACTGCCTTGTGTCTCTTGTGCCGGCTCATTGAGAAGAAATATCCACGAGATGTTTGGGTTTGCGGATGAAGTGGAGGTTGAGTTGGAGTTGAAGTTAAGTGGTGAATAGCAACGAGCTTAAAGCTCCGTAAAGAGTTTCTGGATACGGCGTCCCGTATTCATGTCCGAGTGCAGACCTCTTAGCGCCGTCACTATGAACCTAAATTCGGCAACAGAATCCATTCACAAATCCGGGGTTGCTCATCCCAAGCATTGGCGGCTTGGCATCGCAATCCATTCGCAAATTTTCTGACGTGGCGTAGATAAGATTACTGGATAGATTCATTCTAGCCTGGATACAAGCTGTTTCCCAGCATCCTACAGAGCTTGGGTATCACATATCGTAGGGATGGAGCTATACTGTATAGGTCGCTTAACGACCCGCAGTCAGACATGGGGGCCAAGTATCCCCTTGCTACGTATATAAGGCGGATTCGGATTCCTGCCAGAAAAGGACTGCATCTTGGCGTTGTTAAAACCGATAGAGAATTCTATAATCGACAAATCGTGTTGTGAAGGGCAGAATATCTCATGTTTGACTTGCATCTTCATCTTCGATACTGCCCATCGTGCTCATCGCTCTCTCCGCCCTATTCTTCACGGCACCTTCATCTCGACTATCGCCCTGACTGGTCTTCGCCTCTTGTAGTTTATTTTAGTCCTTGTCCTTCGAGTTTGATCATCGCTTTTGCGATCTGGCGAGATCCATGGTTGGACTTGAAGTCATTTCATTTGCTTCGCTGGCAGAACTGTCGGATTCTTGGATCAGACCGGCCGGGTACACCCTGCTTCCCACACTGCGGCATATTGTTCTGCCGGTAGATATCTTCTTATTATCATTCTCGGTCATGACTCACGACGAATGTCGGCAGCCACGGATTGCGCGATCTGAGTGCCTCGCGACGCGTCGGTAGGTCAAACGCAAGGTCAGCTAGCGGACGATCGTAGGCATGCAAGCCAAGCGAGCCAGTACACAACAACAGGGGGCAGCTCTCGCTTACACGCGCCAATATTTACTTGTCTTGAACGACCGCATAATCCTGAATGTGCGAGGACCGTTTGAAGATGTCGAAATTTCCAAGACCTCAAGCCTGATCTTACGTCGCTTATCGAGATAGTTACGACTTCTCTAGAGATTCCATTTGTTAAGCTTTAATGCTTGGCTGAAAGGGCATCGTATAATTATGGATAGATTTAAACGCTGACCAATTTTAACACAATCATGCGCTCTATCTCTGGAAAGGACTCAAGGATTGGGCATGATGTCGATATTGCAGAAAGTTTGTATTAATAAGAATGTGAGGGTCCAGGTGAATGCATTGGTACTCAGGTGTGAAAGAAGTTATTGTACTCTATCACACTGACTAATCCATCTTGGCAAGCCAACTGATGCTACTTAATCACCTGACTAAACAGCGGCAATAAAGCGGCCGCTAATCTACACGTGATGTCCACTTTAATCCCAGCTAAGTAGGTACAAGAACAAATATCGCAGCAACTGAGCAGCAATTGAGCAACACCACGTCGCTGAGTGCTCAAGGTATCATGGACATCCAAGATGTCTCTCAAGATGCGCAATATGCACAAATCCTGCTTGCCCAGAGGGCCCGCCTCGAATCAGCTCGCGCACGAAAAGGTGAAATACCAAAGGACCGACAAACTCGACAGAAGCTTGCCCAGGATCACGTGATCCAATATAAGCAATTTATGGCTCTAAAATCTCAGAAGCCACAGGATACATACATGACAGCAACTTTGATAGGAGAGCCATACCTTCCGTCTGTCGCTCCTATCGAGGCCCTTGAAAAGATTCCAATCAGCCAGCTGAAGCTGGAAACGCATCATCGGGGCTTCTATTTACTTCTTCGGTTGTTTGTTCATCCTGTCAGAATGACTGCCGTAAGTCCGCCATTGGAAACACAATGCCACTGGGATACTGTCTTCACTGGTATCCAACCTTCTGGGGATCCCTGCGCTATTCTTCCTATATTATGATGCCTCTCGCTGACCATTTTCAGGTGATCACCTTGGCCGAGGACGAAGCCGGTGACGCACTGTCATTTTCGCTATATCAACAAGAAAGCGAGGGTGTACGTCCAGCCGCTGAGATTCTACCGAAGGATACTGTCCTACTCTTGAAGGAGCCGTATTTCAAGGCTGTTGTTGATGGAGGGTATGGACTTCGTGTCGACCATCCAACCGATGTTGTCTTCCTATCGGATAATGATCCTAGAATCCCCTCGTCTTGGAGAAAGTCCGGAGACGCTAATACCTCGAAGGCTGAGGAATGGAAGCAGAAGGGTAACTCCAAGGTTCAGGCAGGCAAGTATCGGGATGCGGTCAAAGAGTGAGTTTCTGCGCTCCATCCCAAGTCCCTCTCGCAATTTTCATGATTTTGACTTACATTCAAAAGTTACACTGCGGCACTCGATTGCTCTCCCACCCCGGCAGAAGCTGAAATTATACACAACAACAGAGCCTTGGCATACCTACGACTCCACCATTACGATGCTGCTCTCGAAGACACTGCTTTCCTCGTGGATCCCAACGACCGCTCTGAAAAGGCGCTCTATCGTGGGGCTCTAGCTCTTTACAATCTCGGACGGTACTCGGAATGTCAAGAGCTCCTCAAGATCCACACGGCTAAATTCCCGACAAGCGAGGCAGGAAAGTTTGAGCTTGCCCGAGTCCAGCTCAGAATCAAGGAGCAGAAGTCCGGCGTCTACAACTTCAAGAGTATGTACAAAGCAGCAAAGATAAAGCCTCATCGCCTCGATTGTGCGACGTTTATTGGGGCAGTGAAGGTGCAAGATATTGCAGGCAAAGGTCGGGGTTTGGTCACGACGAAGGATGTCAAGGCTGGCGACCTGCTCTTCTGCGAAAAGGCTTTCTCTTATGGTCATTATGACTCTTCCGAGACCAAGAATTCCGGTGGGAACACAGGCATCTTGGTTAACCTAGCCACCAATCGCGTAACCATAGGCACTCACGTAGCTCGTCTCACCGACATGTACCAAAAGTTACAGAACAATCCATCGACGGCAGCGACGGTTCACGATCTGTACAGTGGCTCCTACAAGAGGGCTACGCAAGTAAGTGTCGACGGAAGACCGGTCGTCGATAGCTTTCTGATCGAGCGAATCGTCAGCCTGAATGTCTTTAGCTCCCCACTCACGTCCAGAGAAGCCTACGGCCAGGACCGGCAAGCCGACGACCCACGCTTCGGATCTACCGGTCTGTGGGTCTACGCTGCCTACATCAACCACTCCTGCATCGTCAACTGCTACCGCACCTTCATCGGCGACATGATGATCGTGCGAGCCGCCAAGGACATGCCCGCCGACACCGAACTCGAATGGTCCTACGCGGACCCCATCAACCGCGCCAAGACGAAGAGGTCGCTGCAGGACAACTGGGGCTTCACCTGCACGTGCCCGGTCTGCGCCGACGATGCGAAGACGCCCAAGAAGCTGAAGACCCAGAGGCAGCAGATCCTCGCCAGCATGTCGACGCGCGATCCGCGCACGGCCGCCCTCGAGATGGCAAAGACCTATCTCGCACCCGCCACTGCCGTCCCCCGCTTCGAGCTCTTCCAGCTGTACCTCACCATGGCCCAGCACCTCGTCTCCGGGGACGGCAGCGGCGACCGACAGGCTGCGACCGACCAAGGAGTCTTCTACGCCCTGCAAGCGCTCGACGCCCTCGGGTTCGTAGTGGAAGGCGTCGACCTGCCGACGGGCCGCAAGAGGGATCTCGTCGTCAGGCAGTGGGGCGCTGCAGTTCAGCCGCTCGTGCATGTCTGGGAGACGCTCTGGGCTGCATGGGCCGCGGGGCATCCCAAGTGGGCGGATGACGCCGAGAGGTACTGGAAGATCGCCTACGCGGTGGTGCGGGCGGGCGAGAGCGATACTTTTGAAGCCACGTACCAGCTGAAGCAGAAAAAAGAGAAGAGGAACCACGCGGTGCTGCAGGACCTGAGGAATATGCGGGTTTGAGAAGGTGAGCGCGCGCAGTTTCGTTTACACGGGTTAACGAGCGTGGGAGCTGGTATTAGAGATGGCAGATATTGTTAGAGACACAGACGTCTTTGGGCTTCAGGGACAGAGAAAGGGGGAAGAGAGTGGGGGGGGAGAAGGGGGAGCTTTTATTCTAGATACCGTAGACCGCTAGACTAGATACGAAGAATAATGAGCAATATCCTCCACACTTCCTTCGCTGCCAGATTCATCGCTTTCCATACGTCAATCGCGTTGCACTCCCTCTTTACCTTCTCTACTGCCATCCCCCCCCTCCCCCCAAAAAGGCAACGTAAAGCCCACCCTTCTTTTCTCAACGGTTCGCAATATCCCTACTCCATCAGTAGCTCGCTCTCTCTCCCGGATCCCAGACCCAGAACCCCCATTCGTCTTCTCCCCCCCTCAAAAAAGCAAAAAAGGAATTTCGGTTTTTTTTAAAAAAAAAAATTCTTCCGAATTCCCTCCCTGTAAGCTACGAAAGACTCGCTCCCGGATCGTCACCTCAGCATAATCCCAGCAAAAAGGGAAAAAATGGCGGATATGAGGTCCGGTAGGCAAGAGGATATGAGCCCTGTGCTCTGAGAAGGGAAGGGGAGGGGGAGGGGAAAGGGGAGGCACTAGTCTTCCAAGTTATTGTTGATTAAGATGCTGCTGCGGCAGTGAGTGAGTAGGCGAGGCCAGGTCAAGGGCGTTGTAGGGATTGATAGGTAGGTATCGAGTAGATGTAGATAGAAACAGGGGAAAGAACCAAACAAAACAAAACAAAACAGAACAAAACAGGTATGAGCCGAGCTGTGTTGTTGATGCGGTCGTTGAACGGCTCTGGATTTCGGGGATGTTGGTGGATGGATGGATAAAAAGGGGGGGAGGGGGGGGGGGGGGTTGGGGTGTGGTTGGGTGGGTGATGGCATACTGGATGAAGGAGCTATTGGAAAAGTAGAAATCCGGTGTCGGATGGATTCGTTGATGGTGGAGCTGGGAGGGAGCGGCGTGACTGGTGTGTGTGGTTTAGTGAAGTCGGGTTTTTATCTAGTTTACTTCTGGGATGTAGTTGATGGAGGATGACTACCCATTGACCTTGTCAATTGTGGGATTCAATTTGGAGAGGGGAAGGCGCTGGCTGGTGCGTGTGTGTGTGTGTGTGAGTGAGTGACATGGCGATAGCTAAAGTCGAGGTCTAGAGCCGAGAGGGAAAAGGCCTCGATTTAACTCCGTATGTGGGAGAGATGCTGCTAGGCCTTACTTAGCTCATAGCATCAAAACTCTGATATCATCTTCTCTGATGTTTTCTTCTATAATCACATATCACAGATATTCTAAAGACAATGTCAGTCAGTCACGGTCAGAGTCCCTAAAGAATTGATTTCCATTCATACATACCTTTCGCCTGGTCTTGAAATCCTCATAGAGACCCATCCAAATTTTCCTCTCCCGGCACCCCTCCCCTTGCCCCTGCCCCTCACCATCTAAACAGACAGGCTGAGCACTTTCTCTCATTGACTTCGTCGCCGACCACGGTTTCGGCAACGGATGATCGGAGAAATGAACCAGCTTCGCCTGCTTCATCACCGAGTCCGGATCCCAGTTCTCGTGTCCCCCTTTCAGCCACTTGCTGTGGTCTCCAGATCTCAGCTCGCCCGTAAGCAGAGCATAGGGCTTGTGTGGTAGGACCAGGCATTCCCTCCCGTAAAGCATATTCACGATTTCCATGTCGTAGAAGCCCAGATGCGCATCCCTGATCGCATCCTGGATACGCGAGAATTCGGAGGCGGAAGGCTGGATGAGCATGATATGCGAGGTCACGAACGGGTAGTCTAGCCACCACGCTTTGGGCATGACCGCTTTCGCATCTGGTAAGAGGAAAAGGTCGTCCATGAGCTGCAGGATGGTCGAGTCTGAGTCTAGGACCAGAAGACGGGAGTACTGCGTTTGATTGAACGCGAGGAGCTTCGTGTAGCTATCGGCCCAATTAGGCCCGGCGTATAAGGCGGACTTCTCGTGCACGACTTCAACTGCCTCGAGTTTAACGCCGTACTCGTCGCGGGCTTTAAGCAGGAGGCGGCGCTCGGGGGTATCGGCTACGGCGTCTGGGGCGGAATACTTGGATGGGTAGAGCATGAGGCGGTCAGGCTTACTCTGAAGGCGGTGGAGAGTTTCAAAGATCATGACTGAGTTGCAAAGGTAGTTTAGGTTGGTCTGAATAGCGGGGGAGTCAGTAATGGCCATTTACGAATGTTTCGGGATGATTTTTGACAATATTTAAGATTCGGACTGGATGAAAAGAAACATCACGTGACCCCCTGTCTTACAGCGTATTGGGTGTAAGCGAATTTGGTCCAGTCAACATCCGGTGCATCCCAGGATGATGGCGGGTAGACCGGAGCGGATAGCGAGCACGAAGGACCCGCGAGACGGGTCCAGACATGAAATTCGTAGACTGCAGTACGGAAGTAGATGAACGTGGTCAGAGCAAGGAAGAACGTGAAGGCGACACGTGCAGGTTTGGATTTGAGGATCTCGAGGATGCTGGGCATGTGTTCCGGCGGGCGGATGTGGTTCTCTTCATCGGGTTCGAAGGTCGGAAAGAAGGGTGAGCTGTGAAGGAACTCGGGGACTTCAGATGGTGGTGGGAGAAGACGTTTGTCTTTCATGATGGTCTTCTCGGATATCGAGAAAAGGGGGTTGGTTGTCTTGTCCAGATGGGGACGGGGATCCAGAATGCCCTTGGGCTGGTTGAGGATACGCCCAAAGATCGGCTCTAAATAGATGGCTTTCTTTCTTTTAGTTTTTCTATTTCAGCTACACAGCAGTTAGTAAATCTGTAGAGATCAGGGGTCTGGATAATGCTCAACAGATCTCGACATTCCCCCTGACATGCGAGCTGACTGAATACTCTTCAAGCCCGGACACTCCAGCTCTATGCTAACCGATGGAGGCAAACAAATAAGATGCAAAGTCAGAAATCCAAAATGCCAATATCTCAAATCAAGCAGCGTAGCCGCGGATACGCAACCTTTCTCGTGTTGGGGGTTCAGGTTTCAGGAACCCACAGTTCCGTGCCAAGCATGCCAGGATTCAAGAAATGGGGCCAGGCTAACCTATCCTGGAATTCAGCCTCTGAAAACATCGTCTTCGCTTAAAGTCAACAACGTCCTTATTCATTCCGAACAGATCAGTAGGGAGGTTCCGGTCTCACAAACGACGCTTTCCTGGCGACAATGTGACGATAGGAGCAAGCAAGCTCACCAAGTCTTGTATATCACAGAAGAAGATGACTATTTCATAAGTGGCAATGGCAGTTTTTCATTGAGATCAATAGTAACCAGCCCGACATGCGTGGACGCATTCAAGAGAAGCACATGGCATTTGAAGATAGAAGGGACCCGCAACCTCCCTAGTTCATGAACTCCAAGACCATATAAGCTCTACTCACTTACCTCTCCCACCATTGCACGGTCCAACTTGATTTGCGGAGATATCATTTTCACAGTATCCGGAAGGTCATATTTGCATGCATCAATAGTATCAGCGTGAAAGCTTAAGCGTGAGAGCAGGCCACTTGGCCTTGTGCCACAGGAATCGGGTGGGCGAGAAATCGATACTGTAGCAGCCAACATTGAACTCGGCATTTGCAACGCTGGAACAGGCTCCCGAAGCCCTGGAGGATGAGGACGACGGAATGAACGGAAACTTTCACTTCCCGCGAGATCCGAAACAAGAAGGGAGTGAAGCCTCGCAACTCACATACAATGGAGACGGGAGCGAGGAAGGGAATATCTCACCTAGACAACCAGAGATAGCACAAGAGGTGCCTCGATCTTTTGGGGGTTTGTCAGCAATGAATGAGCATTAGATACAAATAGGTAGGAGGTTGCACCTTTTCATCCACCACGCCCTTCCAGCTAGGCAGTAGAATCAAGCAAGTCTGACACCAGCCTGTCCTCTCTTCTTCCGTTGCTGTGCTGTGGCTCCGCTCATCCCACCCATCTGAGAGCCGTCCAGCGAGCTTTGAGCCTCGCGTCTCTTCTCGTCTTCGATTTTCTTGAGCAACTTCTCCGTCTTCTGCTTCCCGCTTCCCTTGCCGTGGAACTGATGTGACAGCTGCTTGAACGCTTCCTTCTGTCCCAAGGTTCGACCATACTCGTCCGTGTACTTAATGTCAACATGAGGCTTGTACTCTTTGTTGAAATGGTCGGCCAATAGGCGGGACTCGACTTGGTCGCGGTGGGCGTTCTGGGAGCGGGCGTATTCTTCCTTTTCGCGGGCAGACATCTTGTCGAGGCGCCCAGTCATACGATCGCGCTCTCTCTGTGCACGGGCTTTCTTCTCAGCTTCGGCCTCGCGGCGTTGTTTCTCGGCCAAGAACAGTTGCTTTTGTCTAAATTTGGCATTGAGATCACCGGATTCTGCTGTCTTGATGATACCGCGCTCTTTCAGCAACTTCAATGTCGAGCCTAGACCTCGGCTCAGAGTGGCTTCTTCCTCTAACCCGGTATTTGTCAAGTCTTCGCCGTTTGACTCCTCTCTCTTCAGCCGGGCTAGTCTGTCTTCCTCGTCCTCGATCTCGGCATATGAGCGATCCATGTTAACGTCACCTTCATCGTCCGAGTCGTCGCCCATGGTCGTGATCGCATCGGGTTGTCGCGAGACAGATCTCCGTTTTGGCTCGGGTGCGGTTGGCTTTTGCAGGTTGGCCACAAATTCGGAAGTCTCGTCGATGACCAATCCTGTTTCCTCTTCCTCATTTTCTGCGACAGGTGTTACCGAAGCTTCTTCTCTGACCTGCTGGGCCAAGTCTTCAGGTCTGAACTTTTGGCGTTTCTTGAGAGCATTTCTTCGCTGAGCAGCAAGTGATGCTTGTAGATCCTCGTCGTCAACAAATGATATGTCATCGTATGTGCGCTTCTTGGGATGTGCTGTCTGGTCGATATCCATGCTATCTCCATTTTCAACGGAGGGCTCCGCGAGTTCGGGTGCGGGGAAAATGTCGTCTTCGTCGACGACCTTCTGCCGGGTGGACTTGGCTTTCTTCTTTTTTGGCTTCTTAACCTTGATCTCTGATATGTCGAGGTAATCGGACTTCGGCTCGTCGTCTTCTGAGTGACTGTCAGTGATACCATCAGCGCGGGGTTACAGATTAGACTCACTGAAAAGATCCAAGCTGATTGCCATTGGCTTTATCTTCTTCGCAGCGCCGCCCTCGACTGCAGCTTCGGTTGTGCTTCCCATGCCGTCGAGGGTGAACCGTTGGCGCTTCTTTCCATCAATCTCCTCATCGTATTGTGCGAGAATTCTCGTCTCGCCTGAGTCGTCGATATCGTGGGGATTGTAGTTCGGCTTCTTCTTCTTCAGCTCCAATTTATCCGTCAGCTTCTCCCGCTCACGCAAATCCAGATTCTCGAGTTCATCGCCTTCTTCCTCATTCTCGTCGATCGTGGTATCCTTGAGCGTCAAGACTTGGTCCTCGCCCTCTTGGAACGTATCAAGCTCGTGGCCAACCTTGACACCTGCGAGATCCTTAGCCGTATACTCGGCCTCCTTCTCGGCATCAGCCAATTCCTGCTCTTTCTTCCTCGCTTTTTCGATTTCCTTTTGTCTCTTCTTCTGCTTAATCAGCCAGGCCTTCGCGCCCAGATCTTCACCCTCATCTGCATCGCCTAGGCCTTTCCCTTCCAGTTTCGAGAATCGTTTCGCCGCATCTCGTGCCCTCTTGATCGCAGCGGCTTTCTCTTCGCGTTTTTTCTTTGCTTGTTCGGCTTCTTGCAGCTTTCGATAGTTATCGTAGCCTTCGGCTTGTCGAGACTCGAGGGTGCTTCCTACTTCTTCAGCGGGCGCGGATGGATCTTTGAAGATGGGGCCTGCTCCGGGGACGGGCAGTGGCTTCATCCCAAGGGAGACCCGGAGGCGGTTGGTCTCTTCGATAGAGATTGCGTCGGCCATGATTGCGGAAGTATTCTCGTGGTTGTCCGATGTGGTAGGTGAGAGGGTTGTGCTGGCTGGTTGTAAGTGTTGGCGTTTTCAGCCAGAGAGTGAGTGGCATGAGGCTCAACTCAAAAAGAGCTAGGAGCACGACGCGTTCCCGGATCGGAGCTAGCGCTTTCACTAGCGTCCACGCGGCCGCATCGCAGGTATATTTTCTCTCGCTCGTCCGTCTCTCTTCCTCTTCTTCTTTTTCTTTTCCACAACCACAGATCTGTGTCCAGCGGCCCCTTCAGTCTTCGGGCTGTAAGGTCGACTGCTGCGGCAGTTCGTTCGTTCCAAGGAGCCACCTGCCTTCACCGGTTTCTATGGTGTCAATTTCCGATCGACAGGTCTCAGAGTGATTGGGCCACCACGAAACCTGAATTCGCTGTCACAGGTTTGAGTTCGGTGGACGGTGGTGCTGAGGACGTCACATTCCAATTCCTTTCGCCGAGCCCGTTGGGCTGTGAGGTTTAGGACTAACCGTTTCGACTACATACCACGTTGGGGGAGAGAGAAGGCTGCTGGAGGCGGGCTTTGGGTTGCAGGTGGGATTCGGATATGTGGGGAAAGGTTCGTGGAAGCATCTACTATGGATGGCCTGCCATCTCAGAGGGAGGACACAGTGGCATGGAGGAGAAGAGGATCTGTTGGACATATTTTCCGCGGTGGGCGCTGCGGGGATACTTACTTCGGATTGGAGTTACCGGTTGTTGATAGTATCTGCCAGCGCAATTAATCAATACCAGACCAGAATCATTCAGTCGGATCATTTCCACGGGATTTTTTAATCCAGATCCTACCTGCATCTTCCATCTCTTCGCTGTGGCAAAGCTCGGTGAGAAGGCTGACGTCCCGTCGTCTGTCTCTTAATGACCACGAACTGCAAGCTTCCCATCTCAAATGCTACAACCATCTCATCGACATCTCGTCGTCTCATCGAATTTCCATTCATTACCTCACGGCCTCCGAGATGTTGGGATGCAGAGATGCATGCTTATGGTTGTTACCTTGACTTCTTCCGCATTCTTAACTAACTGTTCTGCTCGTCTATTGGCAGTGCACCGCCGGCTCCAGGCCTGTCTGTCGCACTTACCTCCTCGCTCTGCCAGTTCGAGAGAGAGCTCCGGCATCTCCATGCACATACATACATATATACTCAACCCACGTAAGAAATCTTTAATATTCAATATTCCATTTTCAATATTCATGCTTCATTCCACCTATCATCTATCATCAACCCTCTATCAGTCTACGAAGTCGCCATGGCATCGTCATGGCTCTCCTCACTCGTCCCATCATCCTACAATATCACCTGCTTGAGCTCGACCTCGACTTCAATCTCGACTTTCACCCAGCCCATCATGTCTTCCCTATCGTCTCTGGTGCTTCTCGGTGTTCTCGCTATCCAGGCGGTCTTGTTGCTTTCGGACCCCAACCGGGTCAAGGAGCGTGAGGCGGAGATCCTCAAGAGATCTGTGGATTCTTTTATTGCCACCGAGAGCCCAATTGCTTGGAGAAACATGCTCTGTAATATCGGTGCAGATGGAGCGTGTGTCACGGGTGCGCACGCTGGTGTGGTCATTGCCGGCCCAGGAAAAGCCAACCCTGACTGTGAGTCGTAGTAGTAGTACTGGTAGTCCTCTCTTCCGCCGCCGAGAAGCCATTGACAACTAAACCAGACTTCTACACTTGGACTCGAGACTCGGCCCTGACGTTTAAGTACATTGTCGATACCTTCGTCAGTAACTATTCGGCCTCTCTCCAGACAGAGATCGAGAACTACGTCAATTCACAAGCCTATCTCCAAACGGTGTCCAATCCGTCCGGTGGTCTCTCCAGCGGTGGCCTTGGAGAACCGAAGTACAACGCCGACTTGTCCGCTTTTACCGGGTCATGGGGTCGGCCTCAGCGTGATGGACCTGCTTTGCGTGCTACCGCTCTGATTACCTACTCAAAGTGGCTTGTCAACAATGGGTATACCTCAACGGCAAGATCTTTGGTATGGCCCATCATCCAGAATGATTTGTCCTATGTTACTCAATACTGGCAAGCAAATGATCCTCGTTGCGCTGCCTTGTCCCCAGGTTGACGGGTAACAGGAACCAAACAGGGTTCGACCTCTGGGAAGAAGTCAGCGGGTCAAGCTTCTTCACTATCGCTTCCCAGCATCGCGCACTTGTCGAAGGTAGTGCTCTGGCTAAGCTCCTGGGAAAATCATGCTCCTACTGCGATTCGCAAGCACCACAGGTCCTGTGCTTCTTACAAACCTTCTGGGGGCCTTCTCAAGGTTTTATTCTTGCAAATATCAACCAGAATAACGGCAGGTCTGGCAAAGATGCCAACACCATTCTCGGCTCCATCCATCTGTTCGACCCCAGCGCCGGCTGTGATGCTACCACTTTCCAGCCGTGAGTGGGTCTAAAACCCATCCCAATTAATTTCACTAATGAACTAACAGATGTTCTGACCGAGCTTTGGCGAACCATAAATTTGTGACGGATTCCTTCCGATCTATCTACTCGATCAACTCTGGCATCGCGCAAGGGGTTGCTGTTTCGGTAGGCCGGTACCCCGAAGACAGCTACTATGGTGGTAATCCGTGGTACCTGAACACCCTCGCTGCAGCCGAGCAATTGTACGACGCTCTCTACACCTGGAATAAGCAAGGTTCTATTACCGTCACACCCACATCACTTGCATTTTTCAAAGATCTTAGCCCCTCAGTGGCCACCGGGACTTATGCATCATCAACCTCGACTTACACAAGTCTCTTTAACGCCGTGGAAGCTTACGCGGATGGCTATGTTAACGTCGTTGCAACTTATGCTCAATCGAACGGCTCCCTGTCAGAGCAGTTTAACCGAGCAAGCGGAGTCCCATTGTCAGCCTACGATTTGACCTGGTCTTACGCTGCCTTCCTCACTGCAGCAGCCCGTCGGGCAGCTGTGGTTCCGTATTCATGGGGCGAGCCAACCGCATCCAGCGTTCCGGCGACGTGCTCATACACATCCGCGTACGGAACTTACTCGACAGCCACGACGGGTATCTGGCCTCCAAACCAGACTCCTGTCACGAGTCTCCCTCCAGTAACAACCACGAATGGGGACAACCCTCCGACGACAAAGACATCGACAAGTACATCTTGTACCACCCCCTCTTCCATTGCAGTCACGTTTCGGGAAACCGTGACCACGATATATGGTCAGACCATCAAGATCGTGGGCTGTGTCGCGCCACTCGGCAGCTGGAATCCTGCCGATGCGATCACTCTGTCTGCGCGCGAGTACACCTCCAGCAATCCGGTCTGGACCGGGACCGTCGCTCTCGCGCCAGGGACCGTAATTATGTACAAGTACATCAACGTGGCCTCCACTGGGGCTGTGACTTGGGAGGCGGACCCGAACCATACCTTCACCGTTCCGGCCAGTTGTGCTACTACGGCTGTCACGGTCAGCAATAGCTGGCAAGCATCCAGTCGCTCCGAACGGGGCTTGTCTTTGAGGAAGGCGCGACACGTTGAAAGATTGCTGAGATGAGAATGAAAAGCGTAAGGCTTGATTGGTTGAAGGCCCCGAGAGAGAGAGAGAGATTGCTTGGTTGGTTGTAGATTTTAGGTTGTAGGTTGTAGGTTGATACTATTCCTGTGAGGAGGTGCGCAAATTGATTCTAATCCTGTTTCACCTCGAGAGGTTGTGAATCATAGACGTGAAGTCCTGTATATATATATATTTCTGAATTGATGCAAACAAGTTTGTCGGTTAGTTACACTGCCACGCACAAGTATACACATACACGGAACATGACGCCTCGGCTAAGTAAGTGATGGACAGAATCAACTGCAACTGCGACTGTAACTGTAACTGTAACCGCGGCGGCTTGTCTATGGGATGGAAATGAACTGATCCATCACTTTTGGACTGAGATTTGACGATGTGAATGTTTAGGTATATGTGTGTGTGTATGTGTATATGTACGCGTGATTCACTAACAAATGTCTTTTCAAAGGCCAGGAACTTCCGTCGGTGGTGCTTTTGAAGATTTGAAAGGATGGAAAGGGATACGACAGACCAGTCGTGATATGATATGTTATGAATGTATTTCGTCTCATTGGAATGAGGATGGATGGATGGATGGATGGGCGATCGTTCGTTAGAGAGAGAGGTTGGGTTGGGTTGGGTTGGGTTAAGCGAGCTTACTTACTGACGGACCAAGCGCGTCGGATGATGATGGCTTGTCAGCTTCGTGCTTGGTGACAGGTTACCGGTTAGGTTACAGAGCTGGGTGTCAGACGTACGTCTTGGGGAGTTACACGAACCCGAGGGGAGGCGCTCGCTCGCTATATACTCTCGAGACGGGAAAGAAAAAAGAGAAAAGAAAGGGAGGGACATCTTCTTCTCAAGAAAGACTATAGAGAGGAATTGTAGAGATAGAGACATGGCGATCGATTTTGCTGCGGTGGAGGAGTTCCGGGGGACGCTGAGTGCGGGAGCGGATATCGTGACGAGGGAGTCACCGGGCTATGAGGCGAGTATCAAGAGGTGGTCTGCTGCGGCCGAGAAGCCTGCCGTGAGTATTCTGGTCCAGGTTTTTTCTTTTTTTTTTCTTCTTTTTCTTTTGGCGACGGGGATGGAGATGAAGCCGGGTTGTTGTTGTTGACATGTCTGAATAGGGTGTTGTCGTCTACCCGGCTACTGCGGACGATGTCTCCCAGGCCGTCCGGTTCAGCGTTATCCAGGGACTGGAGTTGGCGGTAGTCGGCGGGGGCCATGCGACGAGCGGTGCATCGTCCACGGATGGAGGGCTCGTCATCGACCTGTCCAGGATGGTGGCTGTGGCCGTCGACGCGGGAGCCATGACGGTGACGGCGGAGGGGGGCTGCCTGTGGTCTCACGTCGACGACGAGGCGGCCAAGTACGGCCTGGCTGCCGTGGGCGGGACGGTGAACCACACCGGCATCGGGGGGCTGACCCTCGGCGGCGGCTACGGGTACCTCACCCCGCAGGTCGGCCTGGTGATCGATAACCTGCTCGCGGTGGAGGTGGTCCTCGCGGATGGGAGGATCGTTACGGCGTCTGACCGTGAGAACCCGGATCTGTTCTGGGCGGCCAAGGGCGCGGGAGTCGGATTTGGGGTATTCACCAGGTTCACGTACCGCGCGCATGCGCAGAGGGATCCCGTGTGGAGTGGGATGCTTGTCTTTCCGAGAGAACAGATGGGCGCACTGGTCCAGTTCGGCAATCAGGTGCTTGCGGATGAGAGCGGGAAGACATTGATGCTGGTCGGGTTTGGCGCGCCACCGCCTGCTCACCAGCCGGTAAGCCTGCTTGCTTGCTTTCTTGCTTGCTTGCTTGGTATAAGGGGTATTGCTGAAGAACCTAGCTAATAACTCACCCGTGAACAGGTCCTGATGGTCATCGTCTTCTACAACGGCACCGAAGCAGAGGGAACGGCCTACTATGAGCCCATTCTCAGCCTGGGACCACTGATGAACGAAACATCTATGCACGCGTACCCAGCCGTTAACGAGATGCTCAACGGAGCCATGATGCCCGGACTCCGCCGGAGCATGAAGGGGTCCGCGTTTCTCGCGCCGCTGGACCCCTCCTTTGCGCAGGGCCTCTTCGACGACTTCGCAGACTTCGTCACGGCGACCCCGGATGCGGCGGGGTCCATGGTCCTCCTGGAGTTCGTCCCGTTCCAGAAGATCCTGGCCGTCTCACAGACGGCCACCTCGTTCGCGAATCGGGGCGCGTATGGAAACGTCGCCTTCTCTCCGGCGTGGACGCTGCCTGAGAACGACGCGGCGTGTCGCGAGTGGACGCGGACGGTGGCGGCGAAGACGAGAGCCGAGTTGGAGCGGAGGATCGCCGAGGGGACTGATGCCACCACCAAGGATAGTGTCGGAGAGTGAGTCGGTCGCGCGGCCCCGTGTGGCATGAACCGTTTCCCTTGCTTCTCGAGTTGTCGGGCTCCAAGAGCCTTTTACTCTTGGGATCTACTCTACGCCCCGAGATGTACCCAAAAAAGGAGAAATGCTGACTTTCTGATCTTCCAGGTACGCGAACTACGACTCGATGGGTGCGAGCGGGAAGCAGGTCTTTGGAGTGAACTTCCCTCGCTTGGCGGAATTGAAGAGGAAATTTGATGCGGACAATGTTTTTAGGAAGGGGCCGAGTCTGGTCGCATGAAAACAGGAAACTGATAGGACAAAGATTGATACACGAGATCTTGAAGAGAACGGAATTCCATGATATTAGCAAGTGATTCCTGTGCCTATACTTGTAATGGGCGCGGAGGTCCGGGTAGTAGAAAGGGGTGGTTTCTCTCCGCTGTAAGCGCGATGACTACCGAGTACCGTAGTCAGCCCATCCGAGATCTCAACTAAAACAAATAGCAGGAGCCACAAAGCTACTAATCTCACGATGGCTGGATTGAAGGTCAGGCGGAGCTTGGGAATGTCATTAATGATTTCATGACGATGATTGAGGAGCGGCTCCAGAGATTGACAATTGGCGGAAGGCTGGAGGTGGTGACGTTTGCGAAACAAAACTGTTGTGAGATTTAGCGGAAGGCATCGCAGTGTGGCTCATACGCATTCCACGCCCAGTATACCTAGCTCGGCTGTATATTCATAGATCATGCGGAAGAAAGGTTTGCTTATTGACTGGCAATGAGACGTAATCAAGAGTTCGTGATGCTTCACTCCGGGGCAATAAATCTTTGACGCGAGTGCCTTGCTATTAGCAGTAGCTATTGAGATACTTGTATGCTATCGACTTCTTTTGCACGTCAGCCTCAAGAGTCAATAGGTATATCAATATATGGATGGGCTGAACGTCGTTGCTCGCCGGATAACCCTAATCGTCGGCTCGCTTAGGTGGACCTCCTTACATCCTTTCAGTCTTTAGTGGGGACCGCTAATTCGTAAGCGAGAGGACTCCAGACTTAATGTCAATCAATGTACGGCGTCCACATAGATATTCCCCACTCCACTTTGGCATCAGCGACGTCTCAAACCCTCGGAAACAAAAGAGATCGGAATTATGACTCCTCCTCGAAAGGCCGTCGTCGTTGGCATCAGCGGCTGTTCATCAAGTGGCAAAACTACTCTCAGTCGTTTGCTTCGAGATATCTTCCCGAATACTTTTGTTCTCCACGAAGATGACTTCTATAAGCCCGAAACAGAGTAAGAAATCTACCCTTACTTCAGTTTTGGCTCTATTTTCTCTTTCGTGCTATGCTCTCTCTCCTTCGATTCCTTCAGCGTCAAGAAGGGGATCCAAATCCTTCTCGGAAGCATATACACGTGACGTGCTACTCGCATCTGTGTTTGTGGATGCGACTCTCCCCATCTCTGGCTTCTTTCATTCAAGCACTGAGTACCAATCTCGATAACTAACATATATCAGACTACCAACCAAGCACGGTCTCCTGGACTGGGACTGCGCAGAGGCCCTCTCCATCCCCGACATCGTCAAATCCCTCCAGCACATCCATGCCGAAGGAACCTTCCCAGTCAGTTCCAGCTCCAGCCCCCTCAGCCACCGCTCCAACCACGGTGTCACCCTTCGCCCACCACCTGTACTCACCACCTCACAGCCCGACCTAGACTCCAAGGAAGATCGAAATTCCGTCGGCGAGTGTCCTGTTTCCGACGCGACGATCGCCGCCCTGAAAGAACGTGTCAGTGCTTGGGCCGAGCCTGGGGGTTCCGGCCACGGTATCTTGTCAGGCTCGAATAGTGCTGTTAGACTCTGTGTCTTTGATGGGTTCCTGCTGTATTCGAAAGCGCTGGGGACGGTGCAGCCGCAGATTGACATCAAGCTCTTCTTGAGAGTCAGCTATGCGAAAGCCAAGGCGCGACGGGAAGCCAGGTCGGGCTATGTCACGCTGGAGGGGTTCTGGGAGGATCCCCCGGGGTACGTGGATAAGATCGTCTGGCCGAACTATGTGGAGGATCACGAGTGGATGTTTGAGGGTGGGGATGTGGAGGGCAGGCTGAGGGCGAGTGTGCTGAAGGAGAGCGGCATTAGGAGTCAAGAGGGGGGGCCGGATAGGGATATGGAAACGACGCTGAAGTGGGCGGTGGAGGTGTTAATGGAGCAGTTGCCGGTAACTGTCAAGAGCACGTGACTCTATGGACAGCCACAGTGCTTTGGTGCTTCTATAGAGATTAAAAAGATGATGGTTTGCATTCTGGCCTTGCTCTATCTCAGATTACAGGGAGCCAAGATATCCAGCGCAACAATGATATTATCGTCTCTGTCTTACTCTTATCAGCCCTATCTTACTTAGCGTTTTCTCACCTACCCATATTCGTCGTATAGTGATCGATCCTGGCTCACTATAGTCAGAGTTGCCCCAAGGAGCAATGGCCATGTTTGCAAATAAGCGAGCCTGCTTTCGAAGTGTTTGCATTGCACGCGAGGTATCCTGCTACTCTTTGTCTTTGCTCTGAATTTCCATATTTGCATGCTTGCATGCTTTTGATTTAACCTTGGGTTTGTTTGGAGGGCTGTTTAGCTCTTCAATGTCGTTTCCTGCAGCTATGTATGGTGCGAGAGGGAAATTATAGAGCTTATTAGAGTCCTAGAATCCTGCTTTCGTTCTATTGGGATTCATGACCATGGTATGGAAGTGCGTGCGTCTGAATCGAGACGACTTGTTATGTATCTGATTGATATATATGTAATAGTGTGAATCAGATTGTAATGCTATCTTAACATTTATACTAGGTACTACCTATGCACGCATGGCTGCTGGTGTTTTTAAATAACTACTCCCGTCGTCAGTCCTTGCTTTTCATCTTTCGGCGCTCTGTTACCTGGCTTCTCTAGAAACGTGATCTAAAAGGAATATAAACATAAATAAGTTCATGGATGATTGCACATTATCCGCACTGGAAGTGCTTTGTTTTCATGCTGCTCTTTACCGAGGTTGAAAATATAACTAGCTGGCTTTGTTTCTAAGATGAAAGTAAGCTGGAACTTACGTGATAAGATTCGCGGAACTTTATTGATCTATCTATAAGACAAGTTCCGAGATTGGAATTCCGCGATGTGCAACAAAGCGATCCTCCTTACTTATCCGAGACCTTGAATGGGGGTACACGTGACTCCCCTATATCTTAGTTTGTCTCACCAATCACAGTAACCGGAACAGGAACATTTTCGATGAATTGCATCTCCGGCTCTCAGCCTTGCATCCAACAGACCTAATCCTTGATCTGTGCAGTCCCTCAACTACCTCCCATCGAACTTTGGCCCGAGTCATTTATCCAGCTAAGTAATTATAATCAGTACTTATCGAGACCGCGTCCGTCAGTCTATGAATGGCAACATTACGTCCACGTCCACGTCCACTGTGCCCCACCGGCATTTCCTCATAGGGCTTTCACAATAGCCTCTTCAATACTACCACTGGATCCCTCCTCTGTTGCTAGCAGCAGCAGTAGCAGACGTTCTGCAACTCTCGAGAAGGCGGAGAGTCAGCATTCGAGCAGGCTGCCCGGAGGAGGGACTAATGCGTCGCGACACCACCACACCCACACCCGCACCCGAACCCGAACCCGAACTCAGTCCGCAGATCTCGACGAGTACGAGCTTGCCGATTACACCGTGATACAGAAGCGCAAGGAAAGACAGTCACAGTTTTCAAAGCAAAAGGCCAGACGAGTGGAGAAGCTCCGTCGGCTCGACGAGGCAGACGAAATGAAGTTCTCGCACAGTATCCAGTTCAATGCGGTGCCCGACTGGAGTAGCAAATACATTGCCTACAGCAATCTGAAGAAGCTGTATGTGTATCTCGAGCAGCAGAGACCCCGTGCAAGATCGCCAGCACCCAGAGGTCCAAGCTGACCCGTGGCAGGATATACCAGCTCGAGAAGTCAATCCTCCGACCTACTGCGGACGATGCCGAACGATCCCCCCTGATACAATCTATCGACGACCCCGATGAAATATTCCGGCGTGCTTTAGATTCTGAGCTTGACAAGATATTGACTTTTTACCAGCTGAAGGAGCTCGAGGTCTACGGCGAGGTGTCTGAATTTCTAAGGGACGAAGAGTCTTACGAGGCTGAACATGAGCAGGTGGAAGGACAAGAGAGACCAGGGACCAGTGGTCGTGCCAGCGATAGACTTAAACCGGCCAGCATGTTCCGGAGTTTCCTGACCAGGCCAAGAAGGTCAAGCACGATCAGCCGGTCCATCGACGAAGGTGTGGAAGATAGCGACGACGATAATGATGATGAGAACACTGCTCTGCATAAGCCTAGGCCAGCGGCAGGGCGGGTCAAGAGCACGCCGTACGATATGAACATTGCACGAGCCGGAGCAGTGGAAGATGCGCGAACTTCGACTGAGTTCAGCAAGTCAGTGCGACGAAATAGCCAGAACTACGACGACTATGCCAATGAGGCCTACTCAACCCTTTACTCTTCCGGAATCACTTTAAAGAAGCGGGCTATCAGTCTCTATGTACAACTTTGCGAGTTGAAATCTTTCGTTCAGCTAAACAAGACGGGGTTTACGAAGGTGCTGAAGAAATACGACAAGATCTGCGACCGAAGCATGAAGGCCAAATATATTGAGCATAATGTCACGCCTGCGTATTGTTTCCGACCGGATACGATGAGCCATATCGAGGAGAACATCCAGAAAATCGAGCAGGCATATGCAGATATCGTTACGGGGGGCGACGAGACATTGGCCAAGAAGGAGCTGAGGCTACATCTTCGGGAACATGTTGTATGGGAAAGGAATACAGTATGGCGAGAAATGATCGGGATCGAGAGAAAGGCTCAAGCTGCCAACATGGGCCTCCGGAGGACGTTGCTGGGAGTTGACAACGACCCGGCAAAGGCCCGACTGCAAGGCGACGATTATGATGTGCCAGACATGAAGGAGCTAGACACACCTGTCGGGAGGCTTAGATGTCCGACATGGCTCTTTAGCTCGACGATGTTGACTCTTATTGTCATCGTTGCGATTTTCTTTACTTTGCTATGCATCCCAATCATGAAGAAAGTAGAACAGCAGAACTGCCTGGCAATGCTGGTGTTCGTCAGTTTGCTGTGGGCCACTGAGGTACCCTTGCCATGTTCTCTGGCATCGAATGCTGCTAAAAATTTCTTAGGTCATTCCTCTATTCGTCACGTCTCTGATGATTCCATTCCTCTGTGTTATCCTAAGAGTCGTGCGCTCGGATGACAAGCCTCACCATCGTCTCGAGGCTAAGGCTGCTACGAAATACATTTTTGCTGCTATGTGGACACCAGTCATCATGCTCCTACTTGGTGGCTTCACTGTTGCTGCAGCATTATCAAAATACGATATTGCGAAGCGGATTGCAACCTTCGTTCTCAGTAAAGCTGGCACTCGACCACGGACTGTTCTAGTGACGAATATGTTCGTGGCTGCTTTCGCCAGTATGTGGATCAGTAACGTGGCGGCGCCAGTGCTGTGCTTCTCGATCATCCAGCCCATGCTTCGAAACCTTCCCCCCGACTCTGAGATGTCAAAGGCGCTCATCCTCGGCATTGCCTTGGCCTCCAATGTTGGCGGCATGCTCTCCCCGATCGCGTCGCCTCAAAACATCGTGGCTCTGCAAACCATGGACCCCGAACCTTCCTGGGGTATCTGGTTCTTTGTCGCCCTCCCTGTGGGTGTTCTCTCGATTTTGGCCATTTGGGTCATTCTGCTCTTGACTTTCCAGCCTGGAAGAGGGACGACCATTGTCCCTATTCGTCCAGTAAAAGATAGCTTCACCGGAGTGCAATGGTTCATCTCCTTGGTCACACTCGGCACCATCATCCTCTGGTGTGTTAGCCACAAGCTCGAGTGGCTATTCGGTGACATGGGCGTGATGGCTATCATACCTCTGGTGCTCTTTTTCGGCACAGGCATCCTCACCAAGGAGGATTTCAATAATTTCCTCTGGACCATCATCATCCTCGCCGCTGGCGGCCTGTCTCTTGGAAAGGCCGTCAATTCTTCTGGTCTTCTTCATACCATCGCGGGAGCCATCACGGAAAAAGTCGAGCACCTGTCTCTCTACGCCATCCTCGTCGTCTTCGCCAGTTTGATCTTGGTCGTCGCGACATTCATTAGTCACACAGTCGCAGCGCTCATCATCCTGCCGCTCGTTCACAGTGTCGGGATGGGTATGGATGAGCCGCATCCGAATCTATTGGTAATGGGCAGTGCAATGATGTGCAGTGCTGCCATGGGCTTGCCAACTTCTGGCTTCCCGAATATGAGTAAGTTTTCCCCATACACCTTGGTAGTGAGCTTCGCTAAGACAGTCCAGCTGCAATCATGATGGAAGACCCTCAAACCGGACAACGTTACCTCCAAGTCAAGCACTTCATCAGCCGCGGTATCCCAGCCAGCCTCACTACTCTTGCGATCGTCGTCACCGTGGGTTACGGCTTGATGTTCGTCTCGGGGCTGTAGAGAGTGGCCGCTAGTTACAGGGTCAATATACACGAGGACCAAACAGAGGGTGGGTTCGCGAGCGGGGCGTCGTCGGCGTTGGATGGATGCGTACCTTTTACACTTGCTTTGTTCCTCTCCGATAGACGGCGCCGAACGCAAATGAAGATTGGCTTTTTCCCTTTCTCTTCCTCTCTGACATGATCTCTGTGCGACGTGAAGCAAAAAAAAGAATTAAAAAAAAAAAAAATTGCCACAGCTTGTAGACAACTCGTATTACGAGCTAGAGTGATATGTATAGGCTTTGAAGAGGCTCGCTTACTAGGGCCTGACTACGACGTATCATAATACAGTAAAGCTAATAACAGTGTGGCGGGATACACGTGTGCATAATTTGAATTTGGCCCATAGCTGATCATTCGCCTCTCGTAACTCGTAACTCGAATCTGTCTTGCGAGAGCTGTCGACGATTCTCTCCTTCTCCATTCGCCCAGTGTACAGGTGTACAGCCAGCTCACGCCAAGCAATAAACATGCACGGGGGGGGGGGGGTAAGAGTGCCAGGAAGTCCTCCTCCATCTTCTTCTCTACCTTGCGGGAGGCCGCGATACTGCTCAACTGCTCCGTCCGACATGCCCGTTCCCGTTCCAGATTCGGCTTGGAGAGTAGAAGTAGAGTTAGCTCGCTCTACTTGGGTTCTTCGGTTCTGAGACGCTCGCTCGCCGCTTTCTCTGTCCTGCGAGGTGGTCTCTGTCTCTGTCTGTCTGTCTGTCTGGTTGGTTGGTTGGTTCTGGTCGTCACCTCTGCCGTGTGGGCCGGGGTTGTCTTCGCGTCGCGTCGACTCTCCGAGAAGGGGTGGTGTTTTGAATGCTTTTCCGGGGAGTCGTGCTGGGGCGCGGACACGCAGGTTAGATGAGATGTCTCTGCGGTTGCAGGGTGTGGTGAGCGCCGTCTCCGAACATCTGCGGGCAGCAGGTTGTGGGTGGACTCTGTCTGTCCAAAGCCGAGCGACCTCGGCCGTTATGCGAGACGGGGAAATGACAATCTTAATTCCCCAAGGACCGTTCGGTCGCTGAGCTGCATTCTTCTACGTGTTTCCGCTTTCACTGGTGCGTCTGATGTTTTTCCTGCGGGGCGGAGTCGATGCCAGAGACAAGTTCCATGCTCGTAGGCTCTCCCAGCCTAGTCTCTGCCAAATGAGATTCTGCCACGCGCGAAGCAGCGGCAATCTCTGCCTGGCGAGCCAGGCTCCGCATAGGTCTATCTGATGTAGAGGCCCGGGGACGAAGCCGAGCCTCAAGAGATGGCGATGGCGAGCCCGTAAGATCGATCATGTAGGGCTACATGTTCGCTCTATTACTCGAGCGTGCTGATCTTAATGAACCCGAAGAGAAAACTCTGCACAGAGATCGCATGGGAACTTCTCTTCTCCGATGGTGGTCGCATCGGCTCCCTGTCAACGCATTAGTGTTCTGCTCGAAAGATCACAGCGGAACGACTCACGGATCTTCCCTCGGTATCGGGGCTTTGGATATCTCTCTCAGCTTGGGTACTGGCTTGAGCTGGCGTGACTTGTCTCGAGTCCCCGAGAGATGGTCCTGGGAGACGAAGCCCTCGAGTACCGTAATACTAGATGCTGTGGCGGCAGAGAGTCATGCGAATAGTAAGCAGCACTGGAAACCGACCGACCTATTACTTACTTATCGATGATCCCGTTAATCACTTGGGGCAATCGAATGGGTCTTCCGCAGAGATGTTTCGAGCCTATCTCCGCCCCTACAAGATCAGGGCGGGAGTAGAGTCATGAGACCAAAAATCCATTCGTGGCTTGAAGCAGGAAATCTACCCAGACGTCGAAAATCCTCGTCGCGGGGAGGGTGAAGGGACTTTGGGTCAGCCTTGCACAAGTGTATCAAGTCACGAATGCAAGTGACAGACTGGGCAGACCCTGATGTTGACAAGCCTAGTGAGGGTACCGGTAGTCCAGCAGTCGAGATATACTCCGGACTCACCCATCGGTGGCATCGCAACACCGAAGCCCCTCGAACAGTCGTTGCCTACGAACCTGTCCCGACTCCAGACACGGTTGGGAAGAAAGCGACGACCAGACTGAAAGGCTGAAAGGAGGCCCACCTAAGCGAGCCGACGATTAGTAGCTCATTACTAACCTTGAAACAATCTACGGTACCCCTCCACGTCCCTCCACCACCAGCACCACCACCACCAGCACCAACACCTCAACTCCTCCTCCCCCCTCCACCCGCAACAATGACCCAGCAAACACCCACCCTCACCGCATCCTACACCTCCCCCACCAACCCCCCCTTCACACACACCGCCTCCCTCCCCGCCCTCCCTGCCCCAGCCTCGCCCCAGACAACAACAACACAAACACCACCAACACCAGCAGCAGCAGCAGCAACAGCGCAGAAGAAAGCCTACCTAGCCGCGCTGCGACAGGCAACGCTGCAGATGCAGCAGGAGGTAAACAGGGAGCTGACGGCGCGGATGGAGGAGGACAGCATTGATAGTGAGAAGAGGGGGGTGGAGGGCAAGGAGGGGGGGGGGTGGTAGTGGTGGTGGTAGTGGTGGGGGGAAGGCGAAGAGGGCGGTCGTTGACGAGGAGAAGGAAGAGGAGAATTATGGGGAGGAGGTCGTTGAGGAGGATTGAGGAGTGAGGAGTGAGGATTGAGGATTGAGGGGAGGGCAGCGAGCGAGTGAGACAGAGGTGATTCATGTTGTGGGCGGATTTCGCCGTACAGGTTTACTGGCTGCGAAGAGTGCGGATCGAGAGAGAGAGAGAACGAGAACGAGAACGAGCTCTGGGCAGGGCTTGGTGCGCAGAGACACACACAACACAGGACGACTGGGCTGACGGAGACGACAAAAAACAATACCTACCCGGTGTGGCTTTCTACGTCCGGACCCGGATATATTACACTGTGGCCCTCTCACCCCCCTACCCCCCCTACCCCCAAATGGACGAGAACGCCGCGCTATGAATCAGAAAGCTTTGGTATCATCTTCCTTCCCTTCTCCCTTCACGATCGCGCCCAGCTGCCTGCTCTCCGTCCGGCCATCCCACCACTACCGCCCGCGCCAGGCCGGTTTCCCACTCGGTTCAAGCACCCATAGTGCACCACCTCATTATCAGGCAGCACCGCAATAACGCTCCTCCCAATCCTCTTATGGCACACCCCGCACACCCTCTCTTCGCTGACTGCCACTCTCCGATTCCTGCCGCCTTTGTTTCCAAGCGCGCCATCCCCTAACAGAAGCTCTGCTTGGGCGGAGACGACTTCGGTCTTTCGCAGGCCGGACACCACGCGCGTCTCGTTCACAATGGAATTTGCTGCTCGTATCCGGCCTCGGAAATAGGACTCGAGTTCGGCGATCGGGAGAGTAGGCGGGATAAGGTTGAGCGTCGAGGAGGCTGGAAGACGGGAGCCGTGCTTGGATAGAAGATCCAGAGCTGGGGGCCAGTTGGGATTGTGAGGTGGCGGTGGTGTGAGGTAGAGAGAGAGCAGTGTGTGGTAGATGGAAGGGGTATCGTCGTCGTCGCGGTCGGAAGAGGCGAACGAGCCACGGCGGGTTTGAAGGGGAGAGGCGATCGCGGAGTCTTGCTGCGTTTTGTGGATATGGTTGCAGTACCTAGCAATTTTAGCTCTGCCAGGAAAACGACACGGGGAGAGGAGAAATACTCTTCTGCCTTTCCGAAAGCCTTTATCTTGAAAACGTAGATCTCTAATGCTTGCTTGTGTTGTCCCATATTGCTGAGGACAACGGCCTGCGCCTCATAAAAGTTGGGGTCTGTCATAATGTAAGCCTGAGGTTTGAATCCTCGGGTAGAAACTCACCATCCCGTGGTATCATTCCAAAAGCTTTGGATAGAGAATACTGCTTGCTGGATCTCAGGAACGAGATCAGCCGCTCCATCAATCCCTTCCAACCGTCAGACTCTTTATCCCTTCCCTCCTTCAGTCCTTGAACATATGCCTGCACGAGCCGATTGTGAAATTCAGGAGTCAAGTCATTGAGCTCGTTTATTACATGCTCCAAGTATTTGACAGCGAGGTCTACGTCGATGCCCTGCAGGAAGTCGACCACTCTATCTCTTGGTAGCGTCTCCGCGTTCTCGGTATCAGCGAGGAAGACTTCCATTCCCAGATTCGTGTCGGCTCTCAGGGGCCAATCCGCGTATTCGAGAATCAAGTCGATCATCTCCGGTGGGAGATTCTGGAGATACCCGACGGTTCGCTGGGGCCCTTTCAGAGTAGCCGACGCATCCCCACTCCCATCTCCCTGTCCGAACTTCTTGAGCAGCTCCAGAGCCGGACGATGCAACTTCTTTCCGTGAAAAAAATCCACCAGATCGTTGAATCGTCCGCTTTCCAACAACTTCTCGTTAACCACGTCCGGGTCACAGAAGTTAGGAAGACGGAACAGCGATCCAGCCAGTTGTGGTCGTGCAAGCATGTAAGCCCGGAAGAGCGTGGTATCTATGAGCTTAGCGGTTTCTCGTAGCTTCTGCTCCCGATCTTTCTCAGCATCCGATGCTGGTGCCGTGAGCAGTGAGTCGAAAGCATGTTGAGAAGAGCCATTCTGCCCATTCTGTTCCAATGGCTTCAGCTTCCCAGTCTCTGCATCTAAGAACGCCTTCATCCTGTTCCGTGCCTGAACGAGGAATCCAGAGAGTGCGAGAACGGCAGTCGTCAGATCCTTCCCTTCTAGAGGTAGGTCCTCGGCCGGCTTCGGTTTCGGGTTGGTAATCTCACTCGCATCGCCACCATCCAGTCTCATGAAGGATCGAATCGACGATGTGTCTGAAGCTTGCTTGGCATGATTTGCCTTAGCTTTGAGCAGCTTGCTAACAGCGGCTGGTTTAGGAGACCCTACCATTTCTGGTTTGAGATCCCCAGCCGCAGAACTCCCGTTGGCGGATACCCCTGCTTCTTCACTGTCTTCCGAGTCGTGGGGCCTGTCATCCAGAATCGTCAGGTCACCGGCAATGATCCTTGGGAATAGCTTGATGACACGCTCTGGGGGAGCCTGAACATCCTTCGCCATGAAAATATCGACCGCATCCTGATACTTGCGTTGATCGAATAGCGATTGCGCTTTCTGAATCTTGATCTCCCGCAATCTTTCGTCCTTGTTCTTCAACAACGCATCTTCCAACATGCCAAGGATACTGATTGCTTCATCATACCGCTCCTTCTCGACTAGCTCGTCAATCTGGGAATCGTAATCTGTTGTACCCATCCGCCATATACATCGCTCACTGGCAACGTGGAACCCCTTCCCAGCGTGCGCGAGACTCACCGTCGGATGAGGGAAATGTAATTGCTTTGCGTTCGGCAGCGGTATAGATTGGAGCAGGGACAAAGTATCCGGGTTTCGAACTTCTAACGTCCCTTGAGACGGCGATTGCAAGGCCAGAATATAGGGATATGAATACCCTATAGCATCCGGTGATTGAGCCCACGGAACCTGTCTCTTCTCTAGAGGCTTCCCTTCCGATGTGATGAAGAGTGAGTTGATGTCCTTCGCAAGTAACATCTCCCCATCTGCGAGTTTGGTCGCCAGTGGTTTCGGTATATAGCTCCCAAGGCCCATATATCCCATACTTGCAGATCCAACGCCTCCAAATCGACCGGCTTGTGCACCTGCCGCTCCACCAATGGCCCCCGGACCAACGATATCTTCAATCTCCTTACTGATGACATCTACAATCACATAGCCGGAGTTCATGCCGCATATTATCTTCGTCGCCGAGGCCCAGGTCAAGCTCTTGATAGCATCCGTCAAAGTGATCTCCACTGTACTGTGTTCCAGCTCGGATTCGTGCCACGACCAAAGTAACAGCCGCCTCTTGACCGCAACAGCTAACCTGGATATGATCTCGGGGATGCCAGTCGCCGAGTCCTTGACAATGTTCGAGGTCACTGCAAACGTAGAAGCACTTTTTGTTTTCGTCAACTGTTCTTGCAGGGTGTACGCTTGTAAATCATGGATCCAGATGTAGGAATTTGACAAGGATATAAGGACATTGGCCTCCTTGATGATTGCCAGCTGGTCAATAGCGCGGGTCGAGAACTTCTCCACCTCCCGCAGTAGGTCGACTGGTTTCGCGGCAGAGGAAGAAGTTGGTCGGGAAGGGGGTTTATCTTCGGCCTTCGCATCTGGTCTCGTCGAGCCGTTCAGTTTCCCGTTCTCCTCCGGTACCTCATTGACCCGGTACACTTTCAAGCTTCCTGTACTCAGCCCTACCAGCAGACGATCGCCTATACATGGTCAGCAGCTTTTCCAGCCCTGCTTCCTGGTTCGGTGCCTACCATAGGCCAGAATAGACTCAATCTTGAACTTGTCCCGCTGCCTGAGCTCGACAATCGGACGAGCAGTGAAGGCGGACAGCATGGCGGCGCGGTGCCAGCTTCAATAGAACGATACCAAAGCTGGAGCACGAGGTCATTGAGTTCTGAGGGCCATCACAACAGGAGATCGTGTGCGACTTCGGGATGGCCTGCTTGTTGGCGCAAGTTGAGGTCGTTGAGCTGTGTCTGGGCGTTCCGTGCCCAGCCCAAGGATGACGATGTCTTGGTATTCATTCCACTTCGCTAGGCGAGTCTGTCAGACAACATCAGCTCTCGATTTTTCCAACATCACTGTAGAGGAGGTTAAGGAAAGGACATACGAAGTTATCCACGCAACGTCTTCCAACTGATAGAACCTTTTCTGTGACCGTGGAGTATACCATTTATATCTACGCGTTGGTCTTTTCTTATAAAGCGACCAGTGGCTCATCGCTAATTCTCCCTCCTGGAGATTGCTATGCTTCGTCGCACGACACACACTTCCATATGAATGCATATTCAAACTAAGCATCAAGCCTTGGCCCCGATTTCCTGTTGAAGCGAACTACAAGCCCTTCCATACCTTTATCTACGGTGGAAACGTCAAGTGTCACTCGCCCACTTCATCAACTACCGAGTCTATTCAGCATCTTCTCAGTCAGATAATTATAGCGTTGTATTGACCTCCCGTATATCCTGTCATGAGTCAGGGCACTTGACAAATCATGGATGCCTTGGGTGCTGCTCTACCCTTGATACCTGCATTGGTCACCTCTGTCTCTCGATGTCGCGGGACGGGTTTCATCTATTTACCAAAGGAATTGACTTTCAGGAGCTCGGGTTCAATGCTTCATGTTGAAAAACTAAATGTTTATATGTTGCAAACTCCCACCATCTAGAAGTAACGAATCTTCTACAGTTTCCAGGTACTCGGACCTTACCTCGTGGCTCTACTGTGTCACCTTGGAGTATAGACATGGAATGGAGTAAAGACATGGAACTCTAGACCGGCTCCCCGCTAATATGCCAAAAATGCGTGTTCGGTTGATAGTCCGTGCGAGCCCTCGTGGTGGAAGGCAGCGCACTGACTAGCAGGCGTACGGCCCGGCTTACGGATTAAAGACCAAGATCTATATCTGAGAAAAAAATGGATCTTTTTTGTGGTCTAGCATTGAGCCGTAGACTTGGATATCTCGCTAATGTTGACGAACTCAGATCCAAGGAAGCGCTCTGAATTTATGCTAAAATACGTTTGCCTTTGTGACATTATAAGCAGCGATAGCAATATGGACTTGAGTATCCATATGGAAGAAACGTCTTTAGGTCTTGAAAGGCTCGCGAGAAACCTTCACTACATCTAACCCAAACCATCCACCACCGTACTCAGGTTGCCGTTTGTCGATATTCGTTAGCATCTCTCAGCAAAACGAAGACTATACTCAGTTTGCTTGCAGGTGGATTTCTCCTATCAGAATCTTATTATTTCACGATTAACTATAAAGTTGACCATTGATTAATTTCGGTATCACCAGGACGGAATGAAAAGTACGAATATAGAAAGGTATCAATTGGCCGGCAGGAGATTTATCTGTTTTGCCGCGATCAGGACTCCTGTTTTAATTAGTCGTCTGAATTGTAGTTAGAGAAAGAGATCTTACGAATAAAAGTATTTGCCGTAAGTATCGAGAGACGTGATCTGGTTATCTAGAGTAGGTCCGAAATAAACATCATTATGATCAGCTTCGTCTTTTGTTAAGAAAAGAAGAGAAGTCTTACCACAATCGCCGGGATTGGAAGAAGGCTCGGAGCAATTGACGATGCCAGCTTCCGTTCATACTTTGGTTTTGGGATTTCGTTCAGCTTGGGGAGCTGCTAGAACGGCCAGGAGACATAAGAGTAATTGCGACGGCGAAAGCGTTGATAAACATCATCTTGGTGGATTGATAGAAAATAAATTGCTTGCAAAGTTTCTTAGAATGATAGAGAGTGGAAGGGGAATCTAAGAGATTTCAAATACTTATTCGAAAAACTTGAATTGTTGTGGACTTCGATTTATTATTTCGCTCTTGTTAACAAACTGTAGTTTCGCCTGCCTCAATCTCTTCAGTTCAACGCTGTTTTATACAGCGAAAGTTTGAACAACAAGCCATGCTGCCATCATCAAAGGCCCCGCACATATATACACGGAATCAGTTCCCAGGGCGTTCATCTGAAATTTGGGCTGCATCCTCTAAATACGTTGGCTGAGAATCTGGCTCCGAGGATCTTCAAGCGATAGACACTCAGACTTATGTCTGCTTGGGTTGAGCCTTTCCATGCCGCTGCCGCTACGAAAGAATTGATGTATCAAGTCTCGATAAGAAATAGGGTAACATGTAATCGCTATCAGGGTACCTAAGGCTAAGCTTCGGCCAGTGATATCAAGGGCAGGATTGAAAACGATGGCTCTGTGCGTGCTCAATAGGCGGCGTTAAGAATAGGATCGATCGCCGGGCTCTTTTCGGGCATATTGATGGCCAAGGCGCTGTTCACCACTCTTCTTATTAAGAGAGACTGGAAGTACAACCATGAATCCCACAAGGAGGCACAAATCTCTTTCACTTTTGGCAGATGAAGCTGATGCTGCGAGACAGCAGAAGTAAGACGCCCTGGGGCGCAGCAGAAAAGGGAAGAATGGCATGCGGCAAGCCGGTACATTGTAGCTGGGGCTCAAAGCATCCAATGCATCTACAAAAGACGGCTTGGCGCGGCTGAGGTACCTTTGTGCGATCCCATAATAAAATGTTCTCACAGGCCATGCCAGAGCCTTTAAGCAAGGAAAGATCTGGTGTGGGGATTTTCCATTGAATCCAAAGAACAGGAAGAGGAGAGAAAGAAAGAAAAAAAAACAAAAAAAGGAGAAAACAGCAGGAAATCCAAAGAATTCAAGCTACCAAGGCAAACAAGCAGCGATATAGCCAGAGAGCACTTGCAAAGGCAGGAAAGCAGAAAAGCAGAAGCAATCACTCACCAGGATGACACGAACTCCGAACTCCGATCACCGCTCGAGAGTTACTCACTCCCAAGGCATTCCGCCACTCCGCACGCCATCCGTGGACTTGAGCAAAGGCAGACACATGAGCAGGAGCGAAAGTCTATCGCAGACAGCGAAGCAGAGCAGCAGCTCATGTCCTGATATCGATCAACTGTCTCTCGTCTCAACCGTACCCCGTCATGGTAGTTGAGTTGAATTGGGTTGTCAGAGTTAAAGCCGAAGTCAAAGTCGAAACCGAAGTCTACTTCAAGTACTTGTACGTACCACGGTACAGGCCTAAGTATTACCCCTCGAGGGTGCCTTAAAAGTTTAGTTTCCACTTTAAACCCCCTGTTTTCCCTACCCTCGAGGGGTAATACTTACGCCTGCGACGTAGTAGTACTACGTACTACGTACTACGTAAGTCTGCGAAGGTCGAAGGCCCAAGGGAAGTAAAGAGGTCCGAGTGTACACTAGTGAGTGACGTCACGTTGATTTTCACTGTACTTGGTGCCGGGTAAAAGTCGGGCCGATTGACTGCTAGCCTGACCTACGGACTTCAGTCGAGGAACACAAATTGAACTGAACTAAGTATATAGATAGATAATAGATATAGGTATATCTTAAGTGCTATCATACAGAAGAAGTCTAGTAAGTTTTATTGCTTTTATTTACTATTACGGCTACTTTACTGCTACTTTTCCTGCCAAATTCCACATCGCTTCCTTTTCTCTTCCCCACAATTCGGCAGCAAGCGAATCGCCAAGACCCGGCGGCGGGCGATCATCTTAGAATGTTTCCCGTACTGTAGTAGAGAATCCCCGCTCGTCCATTTGTCTCTCTACCACGTCGGCGCCCGTTCATGATCTTTCACAGACATATTGCATCTCCATTGCGTCCTCTTCCTCGTCTTCCTCCTCGTCCTCGTCCTCGTCCTCCTCCTCCTCCTCGTCCTCCTCCTTGTCCTCCTCCTCGTCTTCGTCTTCGTCTTCGTCTTGGTAATGCGGCCATGTCCCAAGATATCTCTGCCGCCCTCATAAGTAGCCCAATCCCGGTCGCCCTTTTTCCACAGGATAGGGACGGGTCTGACCAGGCAAGCGTACTACCGGTAGTCGCTACTTCGAACATGAATCAAGGTCTAGAACCCCTGTCGCCTTTATGTGAAAGCCAAAATCTGCCGACACCGATACCGACACCGTCACCGTCACCGTCACCGTTATTTTCATTATCGCCTTCATCGTCGCCTTTACCGTCGCCCTCGTCCTTCGCTGCTATCAGATCATCTCCAAGTCATCCTCATTCCCACGATGCTAAGAGCATCGTACAGAACGGTGTAGCTGCATCTACATCTCCGCCGGCTGTCCCGGCTTCCAGCTGCTCTTCAACGCTTCCGGTGGATGGAGTGAGCCCAAAGAATCATTCTACAGGTATGAGCGTCCAATTAAAGCCTGGGAATACCGGAAGTGGTGGCTCTAAATTCCAGACGGGGACTGACTTAACAAACAGTCGCGCCACCCTCCCAGATCACTTTAGGGAGTCCTCCTGATATCCTTTCATCGCAACCCCCCCTCTCAAATACCTCAGCGACTACCCCGAATCCCGCATCTCAATCAACGCCAAAGCCTACATCTGATTCATCGGCTACGGGTGCAGTTATGCCTGTACCTAACACCGACGAGAGCGAACCATTACGAGACGACGCTATGAGAGGCAGAGCGAAGGCGGCTTTCGACGAAGCTGTGAAAAACAGCAGGGCCAAGGCCATACTAGAGGCGAGAGAAGCACATCGCAGGCGTAACTATGCCTCCACGAGCGCCCTCACCGACTACGAAGCAGACCTTACAGGCAAGGATCGCGCGAAGCAAAAGGAAGCGGTCAAGAGATACCTGGGTGAAAAAGTCAAGAATGATTGGAGCTGGGAGTGGCCACGGCCAGAACCATCGCCCGTAGGATCGGTTGAGCCTCCTGTGAAGCAGCCTGAGCCCGAGCAGTCATCAGAACCTCCAGAAGCCGAAGTAGCAGACGAGGTTGATCTACTGGAGAGTAATTTCGTCGAGGATCATTCTGAACACTCCCAAGGAGAATGGAAAGAAAGAGACGAGTGGTTGAGCAATGCCAGTGACGAAGATGACCTGAAGGTGCCCGCTCCAAGAAATACAGCCTCAAGCCACGATACGCCTACACCGACAAGCAAGAATAGTCCCACACCTCCAATCAGTGTAGAATCCGTGGGAGAAACGACCAACAACGCTCGAGAAGAGCGAAAGTGTCGGCGGAAGAAGCGTCTGGCGGACGAGTTGATCTGGAATGATGGGTTGAGATGCTTTGTTGCTCGGCGAGATAACTGGACTGGTGCAAGGAAGGTCAAAAGGCAGTCGTCTGCATTCCCTTCAGCCAAGAAGACTCCCACGAGAGGCTCTCTGTCTAGTGCGGATCGGCTTGACTCTGATGCAGCCGATCTAGAAGACGATGATACTTTATGGGAAGACGATGTTGAGGTCCCCATCGCGCCTCCCATTCTTCCTCCTGACAATGCCATGCGAGCATCCATCCTCCCTTCGGCGTACAACACCATCTACGACAAGGTGGTCGTCCAAGCTCTCTCGCCTAGCTGTCCCATGAACCTGAAGGATGTCACCAGGAGCTGTGTCCAGGGGTGGAAGCGTGACGGGGAATGGCCACCTGAAGCCAGCGTGCCCGACACCTTGAGGAAGAAGGCTAGGAAGTTGAGCGTGGCGAGCATCTTGGGACTTAATGAAAGGGAGAGGGCTGCCGCTTCCGCTCCCAAGGAAGAACGGGACGCGAAGAACCGGACCCACGACAAAGATGACAAGGATGGGAAGGGTGGCAGTCTCCGGAATAGCCTTCAGAAGATGCTGCATTTGGGCAAGCGAGGGGCTTGAGATTTTGACTCTACTGGCGCTACTCGGTATGGATCGGTGATTAGGCGTGCAAAAATGAACAGTACTGGGTAACGGGTTGGATTGATGACTGTACTATAAAGATGGGTGGACGGGAGGAGAGTAGGAATTATGGCGCATACATGACGACGAGCTCGGCGTTTTGTTTGGAACCTTTTGATCCGGTCATCGTGTTATGCGAGCCTGGTGTTCTGGATTTGAGGTCGGTTGGTCGGTCAATTGGTCAGAAGGCCAACGTCAATATAGTATTATAGGGATGGCTTCGTGATACCTTGTATGAATTGATATTCTTTCTTCACGTTGTTCCTCTCCTATTCCTTTTCGTTTTCCTGTTCCTCTTCCTATTCCTACTCCCCGTCTCTCTCTCTCTCTC